TATTACTCGTACACAAGATCCGGATGGTCATAACTTCGATAGGCGAGCTGTATTCAGAAACGTTAAAATCACACAAGTTAATGGAATCACAAGCAATACTTAATAGCTATGTGTAACAGATGCGTCAAAGTTAAGGATGAGGGAAGGGGGTAGACCACAAGATTGCTTATAAACCTTTGAACCCACGCTTTAAGGACAAAGACGAAAAGTGAGCATGAGAGAGTAGTCATAGCAACAATACATACGTGCGCAGCTTGTTTGACTTAGGCCTTGTGAAAAATCGACAGCTTTTCATTTCGGGAATAAACTTCTTTAGTAAATCGAAAGTACAGTCGCCTGGGATGGGTGCGACGTACAAACAACGTGAGTCGAACTCAGCTAAAAAAGGCCAAATTCGATAAGCGGTAAGTTTAAACTCAAAATGGAATAAATAGAGTGCTCCTTCCGAGACAAACCTGGTTGAAATTAACATAACCAAATATGTGGGTGATGAAAGCACTGTCAGCTTAAAGAATTGAACAAAAATGTACAGACCAATCAAAGACATCGAGCAATTTAACTCACCAATGCGATCTTGCATTTCCTTAAGGATGGCAGCCCTGTCCAACAGGGAGAATTTTTTTTTGACTGGCCTACAAGCCTGTATTTCAACATCCTGTTGGTTACCTCCAGATTCTTCCTGGTGGTAAAAATGGAGATTAATCACATCTTCAAAACAGAAGAAAGTACAATGTTTTACAAAGCTTCAGTAGTCCTAACGACCATCAAAAATAAACAATAGACAGCATGTGCGTTCATCCTGCAATACGCAACCTTCCATTAGTTTGTGCTCACACCTACCTTGCCCGGGTTGCCGACGTCTGAGTTCTTAGAGGAATCAACACATTGTGAATCTACACAAAATGAACGTTTAAAACCACATATAACAAATAGGAACAAGTATTCATAAAGCGTTAAAATATACATTAACTCAAACAGTACCTTAAAACAAGTATCCCTCAGAATTTTATAAATCGGTTTTGATACAAAATGAACATCACCTTTCAATTTTTCGTTAATATCACTGCCATCAGTATCCCCGTCCGAATGGGGCGGCTCTTCATCAACGTCATCCTCAGAGGTATCCAAATCAGCTTTGCTGTTGCCGCTTCCCTTTTCACTCGAGTCATCGGCCAATCCCCAATCAGCATTAATCAGTTCCGGTTCGCTTTCGCTCAAGGCCTCTTCCAATCTGACCTTCTTTGAGGGGTTCACAGACATCAAAAGCTCCGGCGCATTTGCTACCTCTAACGACGCCCTGCGCTTTCGACGTTTTCGGAGCTTTCCGGATGCTAGAAATGGGAAATGACAGATTGTCGAAATTGCAACATACATCGCCACATAATGGCATTAAATTCTGAATAAATTACACACAAAATTTCATTGGTATGATTTATTGACCCGAGGTGTTACCTTCGATAATTCCATTTGATTTTGGAACAGGAATAACCGATTCACTGGGCCTCTTATCTTCGGAGGGTGGTTCCGAAGGAGCCCTCCCTTTCCCACTTCGTTTTCTCTTTTTCTTCCTTTTTCCAGTCGCTCCCATTGCAGCGCTGTTGTCCTTTGTTTGCTTCCTGCTGTGGGTCTCATTGACATCATGACCTATAGCCATATGTTCACATCCAGATTTTGAATTAGCAGCCTTCTTCTTATGGCGCCTCTTTTTCCTTCCCCCAGGAGCGTTTATCGGTGACGTGATTGTAGAAACAGATTTCTCAGAGAGGGCTTTCAATAGGGCTTCTTTTTTAACTTTTCCTTCCTTCTTTTTCAACCCTAAAGCCGATTTCCGCTCAGCAGCTACAGCAGCAGCCCTCTTGAACTTTCGAGACTTTTTACTCATCTCTCTGAAACAATCGAGAAAAGAGCTTCAACCTGAAACCGAGAAAATCGGGCACGATATCATCGCCAAATGAGACGGAGATG